ATGTGTGGGGGAGGGGGTAATGAGATGGCTGACCCCTTGTGGTGGGTGATATCTGCCTCTTGCTGCAACTTCATTCCCCTTCCCCACCTTCTGAATAGGTAAATCTTAACTTTTGGATAGACCACAAATCAAAACCTGTAAATATTATTCATAGCTCAGCCAACATTCTTCTAAGTTTCCTTCCTTGTAACAGAGTTTACGGTTTACTTTCATTCACCAAATCACATATATACTCTCTGAGCCTAGTGATCTTTACACTTTCCAATGTCATTAAACCTTTACTCAAATCAATTCTTAGATGGAATCCCAAGAAATAACATAGAAAAAAAGCAGAACTGCTCCGGAGATTGAAAAACGGTAACCTTGTAGTTATAACATTTTGGGAGTTTGAACTACACGAAAATTCTTAAGACTATGAAGATTATTTTGGAGTATATATAATTTTGAAATGTGAACTCTTCCTGAAATGCTTTTACATTCCTAAAGAACCTGTAATTCCAGGATTAATAAAATCCAGTTACTACAACAGGATCAAAGTTCTAGAACACTGATTGCCAGTCTTACCTAAGATCAGTTTCAATAGCAAATATTAAATATTTAAAATTGCTTAGACGATGCTTACTCATAAGCAAAAATCTCATGAAAATAAACTCCACAGTCCTCTAAATCATGTCACTGTGGAATTCTGCCAAAATAAATTGCACCTCATGTCTTCAAGACTTAATGAGACAAACTCCTCTGCATAATGAGTGCACAAGTGAAAATAAGCACAAATGACCCAGGAGAGGGAAAGAAGGTATGAGACCCCTACATCAAGAGTAATTCTTGGATTGTACTGGTACTCTTCACCTCAAATACATGCCCAAGTATTTTCATTAGAAGTAGATATTATGTAAAATATTAAAGATAAAAAATAGAAAATAAATGGAAAACAGATTTGTTGTACAGATCTAATTATTCAAGAAATCACTATTGCCATTATAAACTAGGGTTATTAGTCAAGGGGAAAAAAATCCCAAAACTTTGACTCCACCCATATTTGAAAGGTATGGTGTTTTGTTTGCCCCTCTAGAGTTGTAGGTGTAAGGGACAGAAGGATAACTAACCTCCTAATACCAAGATCACGTACGCCTCATTCCTGAACTAGAAGAGCAAACCATCACTTACATTTGAACAGGAAACCATGTATTTAGTCAACAGAAGTGTCTGCCAGGTAGAATAAAACCAGGTAGAATAAAACAAAATTAGGGGCAGGAGAGAAGAGACCACAGCCAGGAAAACCAGCAAGAAGAGAACCAGCACCGATGTAGTCACGGCCTGAAAAGAAACTTATTCTTTATTAGTAGCTACCCTGGTTTACTTCTAGACCAAAAGGTAACAAACATAATCCAAAACAATGGGCAAAAATAAACACCTGCTCAGCATTTTCATTAAAGCTTACAGAAAAATTACCAAAATTGAATAGAAAAAAAAAATCTTAAAGCAATTGAATGAACATAGACAATAATGCAAAAGAAATCATCATAATGCCCACCAATTTATTCGCAAAACCAAGTAACTACGAACTGCTTTGAGATAACTTAAATTCTGGTCATAATGACTGTTACATTAGTATTTCACTGTCTTACAAATACAATGGATTTTGTGCATTGTGTTAATATGTGAAAAAAAAATCACAATATGCGATTCCTTATAATTTAGCCACCCAAAACAAACTGTGTTCTAAAATCTTTAACAAATGCTTTCCCTTACTAGTTAAACCAGATTATCTTCAAGACACAAAGGCAACTTAGAAGAGGAAATGTGAATTTGAGAAGTCACTGAAAAATGGGATCTAAATTCAAGACAAGAAAGTATGATTTGGCCAGCAAAAGAAATTCAATGGGCAAGTTCTAGTTAATTTCTGTGATTGAAGCTGAATAAAAACTCAGTTTAACTCCAGCAACATAGATCAATGCTCTGGTTTGACTGTATACTTTCCCACATCCGGAAAACACACACATTTGTCTTCTGATGATCAATTTGTTGTCTGAAAACAAAAACGCCATTCATAACATCAAAATACTTATTTCCTTATTAATGCATGGTCTCATTCAATCAAGTATTTCAGGTAGTTTAGTTTGGAATATAAACTAGTAATGCTCTAATTTCTGACTCAAATGTTGGGCTAATATTATAGAAACATCTCTCCTCAACTGATACCATCTGAAACCTGGTCATTAAAAGACTTTTTTTTTTTAAAGATTTTATTTATTTATTTGTCAGAGAGACAGGCACAGCGAGAGAGGGAACACAAGCAGGGGGAGTGAGAGAGGGAGAAGCAGGCTTCCTGTGGAGCAAGCAGCCCAATGTGGGGCTCAATCCCAGGACGCTGGGACCATGACCCGAGCTGAAGGCAGACGCTTAGCGCTTAACCACGAGCCACCCAGGCGCCCCATTAAAAGACATTTTGAAGACGGACTAGGAAAACAAAACAGAAGACCTCAGAGGGCATGACAGCACCATCTCTTTTCCCCTAGCGAGACTGATTTATTATATGGAAACTTCATCTGAGTTCTAAATTTTGCTACAGTTTCTTATGAAGACCAAGTGCCTAGTCATGTGGCTAGAGAGCCCACCAAGCACTATGAAAAGACATCAAAACCCAACTGAATGCCCCACATATGGGGAAAAAAAAACAAACCAAAACTGACTTAAGGACTTAGGGAGAATTCAGAGTTGCAATCGCTTTTAACTAAATACATTTAAAACAAAAAGCTCAAGTGTCTTAAGTAAATATTTTAATTACCAAGCCTCATAATTGGGCAAGAAAGATGAGACAGAAATTAGGAATTTTTTTTAAATGCCTCTAAGGCAACTTTACTCAACTCTGTTCAATGTTCTGAAAATTGAAAATCTAATAGAAAAACATCAACATAAAAGTCCTGACCCATTTAATGGTCATTAAAAAAAGAAAAGTCCTATCTTTATCTGGCCAACCCCATGTGACATCTCATTTGTGGCAAAATGATTTTATTTCAAATAACACCAACTCACAGTCATTGAAGACATCTTGAAAGACTGAAGTGATCTGAATATATGCAATATGAAAACCAAACTCTTTTGTTAAGCTTAACCTCAAAACAGGAGTTTCCCAAGTTGAAACCCATCATAGGAATTTTCTGACAAAATACCAAATCAAAGATTCCACCTTGTTCGTCTTCCTAAGCAGAACAGTGACCACAGTCACCATCTTCCCCCATCTGAATTTTATGTGAAATCGACATGTTAAGATTCACTTAGTAGAGCACTGTGATGTTTGGAGTCAATGAACACACGACACAGCCATCCCAACGGACAGAGCAGGAACTGTGAAAGTCTGGGGGATGCCACGGAACCTTTCCAGGAGGTCTATGAGATCAGAACTATTTCTAATACTTACTCTTTTTCAACCCACTGATGCTTGCCCTGACTGTGAAAAAGAAATAGGAGGTAAAACTGCAGGTACCTCGGTGGGAATCAACACAGACAACAACTCATTAGCTGCTACTGTATCTTCATGCTGCACTCAGAGAAAAGGAAGGGGGAAAGCCAGTTTCAGGGGACAGTGCCCTCGGCGAGGCAGTAAGAATTTTTATTACACCTCTACCCTGGAGTACGCATCTTTTTTATATCCTAAACGATGACATGCGAAGCACCTGCTTCTACAGCACGCCGGAAGTGTGATGGCTGTCGCTTCTGCTAGTGAGCTGTGCGCTGAACCAGCTGCTTCCAAGGAGCGCCATTTCTACTTGAAAGAAAGACTGACAGACTATGGTGAGTCAGCAGACATTTTCTCGAGAGTAAATGAAGTCAGCCTGTCACTCAAGGAAAATGACTGACAATATTTGGTGCAGAGACAAAAACGTCACCTTTCAAATGAAAATCAGAATTCTGAAAAATCTGTATCCATTGCCATGAGCTTGACAGTTTCCCAATACTTAAAGTATTTTTTCTGATGAGATGTGTTATATTAAGAAAAAAATTTTTAAACACTGCATAATAACATGTCAATATTCAGAAGAACCATGTAATTCAACGAACTTGTATTTTCCAAAAGATCAATCCATGATGTTACCAAATCATGCCCAAGTAGGACATCCATTCAAAACTCCCAACAAGATAGATCAGATGGGTTTTAGTGTAAGAGTACAAAGTGGACGGATAGTTTCAGACTTCACACCGCACCTAACCTTCAAGAAACTACCAGTTCCGAAGTTCTGATCAGGAATCAAATAGAATAGTCGCGATTGCCTAAAACTATTAAAATACTCTCTTCCAAATACACACATTTGTCTGAGGCCAGATTTCTTCATATACTTCCAACAAAGCGCCACATTTGCAACAAAATGAACGCACAATCAGATAGGAGAATCCAGCCCAACATTAAAGGGTCTACAAAAACGAAAACCAGCACACCTTCTCACACTAAATTTTTTAGATTTGGAAAATAATTGTTTTTCAAAAAAACAATGGTACTTATGTTACCAGGCAATGGTTTCATTTTTTAACGAATTAAAGTAGTATGTAAAATTTCTTGGCTTTCATTTCTAATGTGATAAATAACGTAAAGTAAAAACCCATAAAAGCAAAGTTCTTTGGGATCTTTAACCTTTAAAAATATAAACTGAAAAAATATATATATAAATGGGTCCTAAGACTCAAGTATTTGAAAGCAGCTAGACTAGAAAATGCAGATTAGTAAAGACTGAGTTCCATTTTTTTCTTTTGCTAATTCACACATTATTTGTATTTCAAGGGTCACTAAACCACCTGAAAAAGGTTTTTTGAAAGCAGGGGGGTTTGGAGTGAAGAGGGGGTTAATTAGTACTGTCTTATATAGTTTCATTAATTCCTCTTTGGAATTACGATTCACCTACATGGTTTTGTATGAAAAATTTCACAATAAATATCCCAACTATGTAAAATGTTTAAAAATTACATTCAAGACTGGATTTTACTTTTAAAAACATACCAAATAGTAATATGTCACGCTGTTTTTATCAATTCTTTATTTAGGTAACAAGTTGGTTATGTTCACTGCATTGTATGAAACATCACAATATCATACTGGAAAGGTACTATCAGTACAGGGTTGGATCAGAGTGGACAGTATGAACAATAAACCATTTTGCATTCTTCATTCCCTATCTTTTTACAACTCCCCGAACCCAGTAAAGGGACAGATAGCTTTTAACATCATCATGTAAAGCACTTTAACTTACAAGGCTAAAATCTAAAGAATAAATAAAATATATTGTGGCAATAATTCCTTTTAGACCAAAAATCAGGTGCACAATAAATCAAATGATCAGGAAAGCTGTCTGTATTCAAATGTGTGGCTCTCCAGAAACAGCTTCAGGAAAATGTTACAGAACATATCATGAATTCCATTTCACACAGGACCAGATGATGACTCATTTTTAACTACACACAAGGGCAATTACATCCTGCTGAAACACAATTTAAACATATAGGAAGATGTTTACAAAGCATCCACAACATGTAAACCATGTACAAATGGATACATTCATTGCTTCTCCTACCCCAATAGCTTCTTTTCGATAAATATTTTACTCTTCATGTTCAGCATTCATTGGATTTACTACATGCAAAACTCAAAAAGAATTCAAGAATTCAAGGTTATTGTAAAAATAGAATTAAAATAATAATCTTCAAGTACCTTATGTGACAGCCACTCTGTACCGTGCCCAATGTTATAAAATGAAAGGTTACTGAACCCATGAAAATATCTCTGTAATATTTCCTTAGATCTAAAATAGATAATTTTAAATGTATTTATAGTCATTTCAATGTGATATTCTGAGCTTTTAAAATAACGTAAACAATTAAAAATTATACCAAATTACACACAAAACTTGTATCTTAAAAGCTGAAAAATTAAAACTATAGAAACCCACATGTAAAACAAAATCACAATTTACATTATAAAGGCAAATCTCATCATTTAAAAAAATTTGCAGCAGTGAGATGTCAAAGCAAATTATAAATAGCCATAAATTAATCCATTTGGTTTCAAAAGATTTGCTAGTGAGAGCTGAAGGATGTAGTAGGTACATGCATAAAATTTGTAAGGGTTTATAATATTATTGCCAAATACACTTTATCTTGAAAAGCAGGCAATGTTACAATTTGGACATTATTGGAGAACCCAGTTTGGTAATACAGGTAAAATTAGAAAAAAAATTAAATAACAATTAATAATAAATATATGTCCTATAGTAAATTGCTCAAAGGAAATTTCAAGCCACAGAGCTGCAAAAGGCTTCCAACTTGGTGAACTGAGAAAGAAACATCCCATACAATTCTTTACTCTTACATGCTTATATGTTGTGTGTCTTGTCTAAAAAACAAAAAAACAAAAACAAAAACATAATGTATCTTCAGAGTACGGCTAACTATATTCCCATGCACCTCAGGCAGAGTTTGTTATTTGTGGTGAAATAACTCCGTTGGTTCCTAGGGCCCAAAGTTCAAATACAGATGTAACCAGTATGCCTGAGGTCGGCAAAAAATACTGTAGAACAGGCAATGCTACAAGTGGCAATTATTAGAAAACACAAATATGAACAAATGATGGGAAATGCTAATGATTTTCTGCTCATATCACAAAACGGTGGGAATCCACAAGAATATTTTTCCCTTGTATTGAAGAAAATTGTGATTAAAAGTTTTTTTTTCCCCCAATTTTCAGAATCAAAAGCATTTTAGAAGGTTTATAAGGCTACCATGGGTCTTCTAGATCTCCAGCACCCTACAGGAAGAGAAAAGGAAGAATATTATTATTATTTACCTCTACCACTGCCAGGCTGGATTGAATTTCAAAAGAAAACAAAATCAGATGAACAAATTACCTTCCTTTCTCTGTATGAAAAGGCACTTTTACAGAGAGGTGTGGGTAGCGTATACTGTGTGTATACACATGGATCTATCTAATACAGATAGGTAAGTGGTTGGGGTTTTTTTCCTTCCCTCTCCACCATTGCCTTCCTCTTTCTCAAATCACTTAAAAATATTCTGGCATTGGAAAAATAGATCAAAAACATCAGCTACATCCGAAGATCCAAAGTTTCAACTTAAGGCACCGGAAGCAAGTTTAGATACATGATAAATAAAAACATGACAAAGAAAAGTTATATGTTCTACTTTCACAAAATTCTTGTTTTAAGAAATACTTTCCCATGTGACTGATAGCCACCTGCATCTTAAAAACCTATCTTAACAAAAGCAAAATTCGTGTCTGCCACTATTTAAAATACCCTGTAATTCTTGCATTTCTTAGTATCTGATGAAAGCAAAGAGGACAGTCTCACATTCTTTAAAACGCTCATCATGACAACTCAGACATGTCTATGTGTGTCCATACTGGCCAAAAATTAATATTCTGTATCACAAAAAGGGGATAAGAAACAGAATGGATTTGAGTAAGCAAGACTTCTCAAAATGTTTTCTTTTCATCAATGACAAAAGCCAAGCCAAAAGTTCTCTAAATTTTCTAACAGTACAAAAGAATTTCTACGAGGTATTTTTCCAATATACCAAGCCTGATTATTTAAAAATTTTTTTAATTTAAAAATAAGTACAACATGCATAGATTATTCCATATCACATGCTTTATTTGGACTTGAACACTTATAATTTCATTCTAAACACTTGGTTGACATACATTTTGATGTATGTAGTTAGGCTATACAGAATATACAAACCAAAGCTGCATCAATAATACATAGGTTTTTCAAAAATTAGGTTTCAATAAAGAATACAGAGAAAGGAAAAACAACCACACATCCAACAGCTCAGAACGTCTAAAAATAAAACTACAGAGATGTAAAATATAAACAAGTCAAAGAACACACAAATTATCATCCTTGGGGGGAAAAAAAATTACAGGCCAGAATATGCCATTCTTTGAAGAACTAAAATCGCTAAAGAAAACACAAATTTATTACAAAGCTAACTATGAGTGTACTGATATGTAAAATAATGTGAAGCAGTAGAATTCTACAATTACAAGCTTTTCCACAATATAATGTCATCTTGCTTATCAGTAAGTAATCTCTAATCCTATCTAGTATGAAGTTAACTACTGATCTGAATAACTAGTAGCCTCATTTCTGGCATACAATATGAAATGACATATAATTTTATTGAATTCAAAGTACTATAAATAGCCCATTTTAAACTATCTGATAAAGGTGTATGCAAAGGCCTTCTTAAAAAAAAACAAGGCTATATGAGTGTAATAAAACTAGTTTACCAAGATTCAAATAACAAAACAGTTCTATAAATGCATACATTATACTTCCTAAGTAAAAACCAGCAAATCAAAAGATCACAAAAATATTACCACGAAGTCAAGTCATATTTGTTCACCACTCATCTTTGTCCCTGCATCTTCATTATAGCTGTCTAATTCAGCAAGAGCACTGTTTGATTCAGTACGGCTTGCCTGCATTGTCACTGGGCTTCCAGCATCACTGTTCGAAGAAGTAGCTGTGGCCGCTGGGTCAGCAGGGCTTTCTTCTCCCTCTACTTTAGCTAGCCTGTAACTAGTCAGCATCTCCTCCAGAAGTTGTCGGTAGTTTCCCCTATGATTAATTCTCATTTGCCTGAGAGCTTCCACCAATTTTCCCTGTGATCCACTTTCCTCTGCTTCCTCGGAGGCCTTTTTTTAAGATTCAAGACCCCAGTGTCAGTAGACAAACTAGGATATCACATGTATTTCATAACATCATCACAGCAAAACACTCATTTCTCTACCACGAGTCAGAGAGTCTAAGCATGAGAACATTCATTAAATAAGTATCAAGTCTTACTTGTGTCAATAAAATTTCCACTTGAAATATCAAGTTAATTTCAGCAAATTACCATGAGCTAGTTTACATCTTATTCACACTGGCGTTTGAAGCTTCCTCTGAAATTTACTCGGCTATTAGAATTCAACAGCAACACAAGCATTTCCTAAAACTGACTTGCTTAACAGAAAAAAACAGTAATTGGCTAGAATGATTTAGTACAAAAGGAAATTAGTGTTTAAAGCAATAGGAGAGGACAGAAAAGCAGGCCATTAGAACATTAGTTTCTTCATCACTGCTGCTAAATAATAGGTAAGGAGAGGAGGTACAAAATGTTAAACTATATAAATTTCGACTGCATTTTCGGGAAATTCTAATGCTGTTGTGGGTGAAAATTTAATTTCCTCTTTGATCTTACGTATTTTAATAAAAACATTTCTAGATCAAAATAAACTATTTTAAATCTAATAATAAGATATGAACAGGAAACTCACTCCTTCTATGTTTTATTAAATTTTGGAAAACTTGTAGGTTTCTACAACAGCAGCTACTTAACCTTGTTAGCAGGACAAGCTCTAACATGGAAGGTGATCACAGTTAAGAGTTAAGCTGATGGTCTAAATGCAAGACAACCTTACACTGTGTGCCTCCTGATGTGATGAATTAGGGATGCAGAACCACGTCCTATGTTCTCGCCTAAAAATGTTTAATATAAATCTAATAAAGTGAATTCCCAATTTACAGGAAAACAGGGAATAGAGGATCGCATTAAAGGACACCACAAGAAAACAATCATATGATCCAGAATGTAGGACATCCTGTTCAAAGTTGGCTCAGAGTCTTCTTTCTCAGTGGCAAGGGGAAAAAAAAAAGTGGGGGCTTATTACAGACATTATTAATATGCTTGACTGGTAACAGCCTGAGACCATCTTTCAAAATAACTATTATCACAGACACGCTAGAGACAAGTGGGAAAATCGGGACTTGATACTAGATGATAATCTTAATTTTCATTGGTATGATTAATAGTATTATGGTCATGCAGAAAGACGTCCTCACTTTTTTTCTCCTTTCTCAAGTAAACTCTACACCCAACGTGGGGCTTGAACTCATGACCCCAGGATCAGGAGTCGCACACTTTACCAACTGAGCCAGCCAGGCGCCCTGAAATGTTCTCATTTTTAAGAGCGGCATGCCAAAATGATGCCTGCAATTTGCTGTCAAAAGGTTCAGTGGAAAAAAAAGGGAAAAAAAAAGTAGTGTACACACACACACACACACACACACACACACAGCAAAGACGGTAAAATGTAAACTGTTGAATCTAGGGAGAAGGTGGATCATTTCAATTTTGCTAGCTATTTGGAAGTCTTCATAAAAATGGTGGGAAAATAAAACTCAAAAAAGAGGTTACTGATACAGATGATCTGACAGAAACTCTTAACCATCTCTGGAGACTGTTACCCTACAGTTCGGCAACAAAGACACAAAGAGAACACAGATATAACCACATAAAACATGGCAATGTTATGAGGAAAATGAGAACATCTGAACGCTTTAGGGAGGAAAAAAAAAGTGCCCTTATGGCAAAAAGCAAGATATGACACTGTCTGTAGATATGTTTTATGTGTATGCATAGGTCTATGTATCCACTGGTTTTAGGATATTTTTTTTTAAAGACTTATTTATTTATTTATTTGACAGACAGAGATCACAAGTAGGCAGAGAGGCAGACAGAGAGAGAGGGGGAAGCAGGCTCCCCGCCGAGCTGAGAGCCTGATGCGGGGCACGATCCCAGGACCCTGGGATCACGACCTGAGCCGAAGGCAGAGGCTTTAACCTGCTGAGCCACTCAAGCACCCCAGGATATTGTTTTTTTAAGATTTTATTTATTTGACAGAGAGACAGAGGTCACAAGTAGGCAGAGAGGCAGGCAGAGGGGTTGGGGGGAAGCAGGCTCTCTGATGCGGGGCTCGATCCCAGGACCCTGAGATCATGACCTGAGCTGAAGACAGAGGCTTTAACCTACTGAGCCACCCAGGCACCCTGGTTTTAGGATATTATCCATAAAATGTCTGTGGGGAAAGGAAATATAGCCATATACAATTAATCATAATGGGCAGTGAAGTTACATTTATTTTGAGTTCTCCAATTTTCTACCTCATGTATACTAATTGTAAAATGACTTCTCTTTCATTTTAAAAAATTTTAAAGTATGGATTATGTATTTATTTAAAGTTTTATTTATTTATTTATTTGACAGAGAGAGCAAGAGCAAGCACATGTAGGGGGAGCAGTGGGCAGAGGGAGAAGCAGCAGCAGGCTCCTTACTGAGCAGGGAGCCTGATGAGGTGCTCGATCCCAGGACCCTGGGATCATTACCTGAGCCGAAGGCAGATGCTTAACAACTGAGCCACCCTGGCGCCCCAAGTTTTTATTTATTTAAGTAATCTTCACACCCAACGTGGGGCTCAAACTCAAACTCACAAATGCTCTTCTGACTGAGCCAGCCAGGTGCACCAAATAACTTTTTTTTTTTTTTTTTTACAAATTTTTGCAAAATTTGTCATATTGGGAGAACATAATAAAAGGCACTGTTAAGATTTTTCTTACTTTTTCTCCCTTACCTCTCCTTCTGTGCTAAATAAACATGTTTCTCCAAATAAAGTTTCTCATTTGTATCTATTCAGGAAAGGTTAAGATTGAGCAACAAAGTGAATGCTCTGCTAATCATAAACCTTATTCATCTTTAATCAGGTTTTCCAAACGGCAATTTTCTACTTGATGGTATATCACAAAAGACTTTTAACAGATGGCATAAAGACTCCTCCACCTCACATCCTGCCCCCAAAAAACTCAAACCGACAACTCCCTTTTTATTAAAAAATACTTCTAAGGACACTGAAACAATTCTGAAGTGATTATCAACCCTCATTTAATACCAGGATTGCCTGTGGAG